TTTGTTGTGTTCGATTGTACTTTTAGAAAGGGCGTTAAATCCAGGACTAAACCTGGTTCTCAATGGCTTTCTCCGTCCCCTTTTCTTACTTTACAAGTGGCAGGATTTCAGCGATTTAACTTCTTCAGATACCGAAAATGTGCCTTTTTGTACCGTTTAATCTGATGATTGTTAAGATCACCTCTTACGTTTTCCTAGTTTTCTATCGATATTTCTATGATTTAATCGGGCGTTCCATGGTCTCACTATTTCAATTCAAATTAAATTTATTTATTATGTTTTTTATGGTTTACATCAATAGATAATGGTATTCATCAACGCTTCATTAACAAAAATGTATACAAGCTTATGTTTATATAACTTTTAATTAAATAAATAGGGATCTGACAAATCAAATACGTTTTCCAATATTAATATTAAAATATACAAATAAGCGCTTTAATCTGTTTGATTTCCGATGGCGCAGTGTAATTATAAGATACAATAAGGCCTGAAGGGGCTCAAGTTGTGCCTGTTATATAAGTTATGGATTTGATAAGAATATCGTACGTGACTTTGAATAATTGTAATATTCGCAGTGGTATTAAGGCGATTAAAAGTTTCCAAGAGAGTTGAATAAGCTCGGCTAATTTCAAGCCGCAGTTCTCTAAACATGACAATTTCCGAATTTTAACTATTATATTTCCCCTTTTCTTTGATACACGCTTAATTTTCGTGATTGTTAATTCCTTTCTAAAAGTTGGTTTTCTTTGGCTGAGTTAATTAAGCATAGGTTTAACTACTTTGGTACTAATAACTAAAATGATGTATATAATTTATTGCAATACGAAATATTCAGTGAAATATTGATAAAAATCCACTTAAAATAAAAATTTAATAATTTAAACAAATTGCAAGTGTGGTCTATGACTATAAAAATTTAACGAAAGTGTGGTATTTTTCTACTTCAATTTTATGCTGCCAGCAGATACTGTAAGAAAAAGAAAATACTTAAAAACTTATTTAATTCGCGAAGTTTTGGCTTATTTTTTCATTTTTCGATGTGATTTGTTCAAAAGCTAGGCGTTACGCCACAAAATGATTCTGCATTATTATGGCCTTAATAAGAAACATAATAAAGCTCTTCTGATTAAAGCAGCTGTATTGCCTTCTCAAATATATTAATCTTTTCGGCTGATTAAATTTCTTGGATAAATGGACATTTTTCATTACCGTCTGTTGTGGAGCCTCAAAAACTACACTTTCCAAATGCCTTTCAATAAAACATATAGGAAATGTATCTAGGAAGTTGATTTCGCATACATGGGTAACAAAACACTCTATGCTGGCTTTTGAAATAACGCATTGAGATGGAAGGATGCTTAAGCTCATCGACGTTCCACTGCGATTTTCGCTTTTCGTCTTCTAAGTAAATGTCATTGTATGTAAGATAAAATGTGAGTCTTTCCTTGTGAATTCAACTAACGTGAGGAGGAACAATAACTAGTCAATTGTGTTCTTTGGGGGTAATTTCTAACTACATCTGAACTTGAATACAAACGTTTCTAATTAATTTATTTTGACTCACCCGCAGTTTTATGTGCATTTTTTAGCGAAAATAATATATAAATATTGAAAATAAAGTGAAAATATATCACAAAATGAACTAAATGTAGCAGCTATAAATTTTTCATTCCAAGAGCATGGCCTAAGAAGCTGCGAAAGGGCCAAATTGATACAAGTCATGTAGAGTCCTACAGAATAAACAACCCCAAACTAGCGCAATTCAAGATGAAATGATAATGTATGCTGAAAGTAAATCGCAGCGCACTGATTTCATTAGACTTAGTCTCGATATTATTGTTGAAGGTTTAATCAACATAAGACCCGATCTGCTTTAGCTTATTCAAAATCAAGAAACTTGTGTTCAGGAAGTTTATTTATTCGGAAAAACATCGCAGGCGAAAGCAGCAATTCCGAAATAAAGCAGGGCCATTTCTTTTAAAAATAGGCAACTCGTAATTGTGCAGAACTACGACTACGTTTTACGGAAGTTTTCCTTTTCAGAATAAGCTTTTGACCCTTCTATTCATCTCTATTTAGCTTAAATGAGCACGTCAGTGCAGGAGGGAGACAATAGAAAAAGTAAATTCATTTTTTAATAGCGTCTACTCTGGAAATGACAAATTCATGTTTGGAAAAATATTCGAAACGGGTAACAAGTGACACAAAAAATAACCGATCTCCGCTTAAAGTCAGGTTTTGATAAAAAAAAAGGCGCTAAATAAATATAAATGCTTTTTATACAACTTAAGTGAGTTGAGGCGTCAATAAAGTTGTAAAGTAGTCCTCGGGGACTGCTGTCGCTTGTACAAATCCTAGCCGTAAAGTCAGAGATGTTCGCTTTCCCTTCTTCCCACATTTATAACAAATATTAACAACCCATACATTTTATGTCATTCGTTTCAGAAGCGAATGCCGAGAATTGACTTCCTTTCCGTAGTTATGAATACGAAATTTCGTTTATTGTATACAGGACTTTCTATGGTAGCAAGTGTTTAAGAATATTCAATGCCGTTTCATTAGCTATTGCTTATCGTTGTTGCTGCCACTTTTCCAATTATTTATTGTCTTGAAATATTTCTAAATTGACTTGCATTCCTATTTTGATTTGAAACAGATTGTTTCAAGCAAATACGTACTAAAAATTCGTTCATTAAAAAGGATATATGTATATAAATAGTTACTATTATATATGATAAAATCCACACTATAATGATATAGTGATTGTAGATTTTTTCACTAATTTCACATAGTTTTTAACGTACTTTTTAAGGCTCTGAATGAATCATTGCAGCGTGGTTTGCTGTGTATATTCATATTTGTAAAATATGTATAAACACAAAATCATAAATTGAAATTATTTGCTGGTTTAGCTTTTGGTGCGAAATAATAAATTTGTCATTTTTGATAATTAGCTGCTTTTACAGATATTCGTGATTTGAAAAGTGATTTATTTTGTAAGAAATAGTCAAATAGTTTTCATAAGTAATAACCGCAGGCATAGAGTAACAAAGCAAATGAAATTAATCTGAATGTAGCTGGCTTCAATTTTAATCAAAAGCATTATTCTAATTTCAACGTACAAATATCATTCAGCGATGTCTAATTTCCCTGGAAACATTGAAAACGCCAGAATTAATTAACAAAAGAGTACGTTAAAGTTAAGCTCTTTTTAAGCCTGTATTTGAAGTTGTGGCCCCTATTAATAAATAGCAGAAAAATGCATAGATTTAATTTCACCACACGAATGCATTGAGTGTCAAAGAGAAAATTTACCACACAACTTTGCTTTCAACAATTATTAGTAATCCATTGGGATATTTCCCGAGTCTCTAGTGTTCTAAACTGCTATGTACAAAAGAGTTGTGGTAAATTTGAAACAAATATTTTCCGAATCGGGCTTAGTTAGTTGAAATGCTGTAACAATACTAAAAAACTACATATTATTAAGCAAAATAATTCGGGTAAGGGGAATAAACTGGAAATTACAGTTATTGATACTAAAAAAATATTTCTAAATTATCATGTTACAATGTGATATTTTTGCATTTTCTTGCTGCCAATTAGTAAAAAGATATATCTGGAAATCAGAGTATAAAGGCATCACGGTCATCAAAATTTCGGTTGAACAGTTTTCTGTAATTAAAGTCGTGAAATATTTACTTAATATATTTAAATGTAGATAAGTTCTATATTGTTGAGGCGGATTCATTTTTTTAAACTGCTGGTTGGGTATTTCGCCTCAAAAATGTTTGTTCCTTGCTCTTACGTATCAATTGTTAATACACAGTTAACACTCTTAGAAAATCGAAGCTCTACCATCAATCAAATATAGTGGCTAATTCTAAGAAATATTTAATCTGTATTCTCTCGTAAATAGAGAATCTTTAAGCGGTTACAGAAATATTCAAATGCAAAACATAAAATGACAAATCAGAGAGATCGAGAAAGCAATATGGCAAGAAATGTATTGTTTTTCAATAAATTTCTAACTGTCTGAGCCGTAAATTTCTATCTATGTTATATGCCTGAATAATCGATTAAAGCGAATGTGAACTTATTTTCTAAGTTTTAGGAAACCCCTTAGTATCGGTTATAAATAAATATTTCGACAATATATTATATTATTACTAATTAAATTTTAATTCGCAAAAGTTGTTTAAGTTGGGATTAATGCCTTTGAAATTGCCTACGTTTCTTCACAGTTTTCCAGTTCCGTATATTTATTACAGATTAATCAAATGCAGATTTATTTTACGAAATATAAATTAAATAAAACAAAAATTAACAACGTGAAACATTGTCGACAACTACACAAGATWTGGTTTTGACAAATCCATGGTTTTAATATACATTAAATGCGTATTAAACGAATATTTAATCAAATCATACATCTCCATAATATCCAGTCTGTAAAYCTATTAATTGGTGGTATATTATTAATATGTAAATCGACTATTTAATATTACTGCACTTTAGATTAATTAACACTAAGCTATTTTAACTATTARCAGAATTTTTTAACCGCAGTTCCGAAATATACGCATTAAATGAGTGGTCTTAGTTAAAATTCATTCGTTTCATGGCCTAAGGCACATTTTCTTTGATCTTAACGTCGATGTAGTAAAAGTTTGAGGGGTAAAAATTCATTAAAACTGAAAAGAAAAATAAATAAGGGCACAGAAGGTTCATGAAATGAGTCTGGCTCATTAAAATTATATGCAATACCTTGCATGTTAATGTAATTTGAAATACTGGTTATAAGACTGTAAGAGATGATGTGAAATTGCGAAAGCAACGAAAGGATTTAAATTAACCTTGGAAGTAGAAAGCAAATATTTGAATTGTAGCTATACTAAACAGTTTTGATATGCGCACTAATAATTTCTGATATTAAACAAACCAAACATTGAACTGAATGAAAAGCAAATTTGTTTAACAATAAATTTAATACTTACTTTGAAAGATCCCAAGTTCTTCACGGAGCAGGCAAACTTCGCAGCTCTACCGGCGGCCACAGTTTGATTCATGATGACATCAGTAAATTCAGGCTCCTCAACAACAGCTAGAATAAAAAAAAAAAATTAACTCTAATAACTAATAATTTAAATTAAAAATTTAATTTTATAAAAAAAATCAACAAATAATTTCGCGCTGTTCGCTATCCTGTAACTTCCATCATAGTGCAGCATAAGAAATCTACTTAAGAAGCTAAGCACATCTCATGATGTGCAGTGAAATATGAATCTCCCTTTAATAACATGGATAAAAGTTTAACTTCTTTCTAGTAAGGCATGGTCGTTTTATACTGTTAAATACAATTTGAGAAGTTTCTCAAAAAAGCCTATTTTCATAAGCATAAGAATTCAACCACAATCGATAAGAACTTTTATCGAGACGAGGAGAGTAATTTTTATACGTCAGTCATCAAGTATTCCTACAACATGTTTTCCCAGGAAACTTTATTGCGCCTAACAAAAGGAAGAAATTCAAAAATCAAAGAATGTATAAACAAAAGTGATATAAATGACGGCAGATATCATGGATGTGTTCATCTCAGGCGCTGCCTACGCCGGTTCAAAGCCGACAAATTCTAAACTGGTCCAATAACATTAAATGATCTGGATATCTGTACCCAGTTGTACCACTAACCTTCAACAGCTCTGAACAAACCGAAAGTTTATTGAACTGATTATTTCTTTTCTAGTCTTTCTCGAAAAAAAATGAAGCGTTTGCATGTAGATAGCAGTACATTATCGGAAAATTGGTTCATTGCCTAGAATTTCCAACATTTCTAAGTTAGCTTGTCTAACTAACACGCGTATTTGCCTATTGTACCTTTAGGTCTTTTTGCACCGTTTTACAATCGAATTATTTTCAATAGAACAAATTTATAATTTTTTATTATACTCTTCTAAGTTCAGCAAAATATTATCTTTACCATTTGTAATACTCATTTTACATTGATTAATTGCGCAATAAAATATTCTATTCGTCAACCCTCTTATGCCTAATCTGAAAAAAACACAGAACGGATGATTGAAGCAATAAACATTTTCAGATGTATTTCCCAGTATGTTTAAGTAGTTTAAAATTTTATTTTAAATTTTCTTGTTTTTTTTTCGTTCGGCTAACACTCGAATTAAATAATATATACTATTTCCAAAATGAAACCGACTATTAATAATTTCGGAAAATATTAGAGGTGTTATTTTATTTTGACTCAATCACGTCCCTATTAAATGCATTAATTTAGCGATGTGTTTACATTAGTATCTCATAAAGGGAATGTCAATACTAATAATTGATTAACTACAGATACAATAATTAATTGACAAAGGAACTGTGTAATGAAAACTGACATGCACTTTGAATTTAGATACTGAAAATATATTGTAGAACATTAATTGGGCAACTTATGTTGCGACAATCGACGGAACTTATCAACGGGACAATACTTTTGTTCAAAAATCAATTTTCAATTCGCAAATTATTGAAACTGGTTGAAAAACATGAAATTATTAAGTTGCATTTGATTTGAGAGTTTTTTTCATGTAAAACAAACAGCCTCAAGTTTTTAGAATGGTTTGGAACTGAGACCAATGAATGTAGAAGAAAGTTTGAGACTTGTAATCTTTGCATATTTTACTGAAGGCACACAAGTAATAAATTACTTTTTTGTACCGCAAAGTTCCCTCGATTTCTGTGTTTAAATTGGGCAATGACTTTTTCGACCTTCCCTGAAGAACAACACTTTTTGAAGAATAATTGCCGCACATACAAGTAGAGCGCCAGCTGGAAATACTAATGAAGCTTTCATTTTAACCTTAGAAAGCCTTGAGAAAGTTTTGACAATTTGATAATTAGAGCGGAAAGAATGTGAACCACTCTTTCTTATAATACGAAATGGTCTTCAAACATTTTCTTCAGCCGTTTAGGCTGTACAGGGAATTTTATAATTTGAGTTGGGATGGAAGCTTCCTCTATCGATATATGGAGAATTAGGAAAGCTGCAGATTTTTTATTTTGTACGTTTAAGTCACTGGAGATACTCGATTTAAAAAACACATTTTCAATTTTCTAACATTTCAGGTTTAATCTGAAGTAGACAACAGCTTTATTAAATTATTTTCAATTTTATTAGATTAGATAATTTTAAGTGCAACCCCATTTATATTTTTGTATTTTCGAACACTAGATTCAAATTTAAGAGAAGCTTTTTGGAAATGATTTGGAAAATTGGTCATGATTTCAATTCCTTTTGGTCAGTGATTTCGCTCTAAAGTTGTTGTCTTTTTTTTAAAGCAGAATGTTGATTTTTACAAGAACGTGAGTAGGTACTGCTAAAGAAATAATATAAAATAAACTAAAACTTAAATAGATTAAAATAAGTATAGAAAAAGAAAATTTTCTAGAAACATGCTCAGCATTTTCTCTGTTAGCGAATTACCACCTTGAAATTCTACGTCCTAAGTCCTGATGAGTCGCCGCTCTAATTTCAATAGTTGACAACGAAAGGATTGTGTTTCACACTCTTAATTTATGACGCATGGCTGAAAGAAAAATAAACCACTAGAAATAAAGGTGAATTAATTTCTCGACCTGAAGAGACAAGGTGAACTTTTTTGAGTGCAACAACTTCAATTATACTGTGATTACCTCAATGTGGAGAACATACAACAATAAAACTCAAGAATCAAATACTTTTTTCTGAACCATATACCAAAAAGAGCAGTTTCACTAAATACTTTCCACGTAGATAATGCAAGACCATTTTGAAAAGTAGAGTGTGACAAACAACAATTTTTTTAGTCTTCAATTTGGTTGCGTTTAGCAAGACCTTTTCTCGCCCCCACAGATAAACCTGATGGTGTCAAATCAGGCAACATTGCTGTCAATCCAGCGATCATTCAATGTTTAGTAGAACACCTTCACATTATTCCTGTTGTGAATGGTGGATAGTCTCTCCCGAAAGTCTTGGATCAAACCCTCAAAAAGTCAAAAATCCCCGCACTGATCCATTTAAAATAACCAAGTTTCTGCTTACTTTATTATTATTACTATTAAATTATGGTATCTACATCGATCACCTCTTGTTGTCTAGGGATACAAATTTACAAGTCATTATCTTTATCAGTTATCCATATATCGATAGAGCAATCTTATTTCTCACTTTGTTGTATTTCGTGTTTCTGTATTTTGGACTTTTTTTTAAATTATACAAATCTTATTGAATAACTGTGTCGAAATATTGGGTGATTATTAACGCGTTTCGATTTTAGTTACATGATGGTAAAGTTAAACGGAAGATGAAATTCCCTGGAACATGCAAGGTATTAATTACGCGTTAAATTCATTTCACTCAATTTCAGTGTGGTTCTCTTTATATTGCTGTACCAATTCCAATAGTACTATCAGCAAACAGCAATCTGGGGCATTGTAAACCCGCGATATTGGTATTTCTCTGTTTTGGTGAATATTTTAAAACGTCAAATACTCCGCCATTTTTGCGCGCTCTATTTTGCAAATAGACTCTGCTGATATTTGACTTTGCTGGACATCGAATTTAATATGTCAAACAGAAACTAGCAATTTATGCGTCCATGTACCTCTCTTGTTTAAGTTTTAACATTGGATTTGACGTGAATCATTACGCCCAATATGTGAGAACTGGAAACAAAATTTCGATTATTCAGCTTATTTTCTGTTTAATATCAAAATTGATTTCTCCCAATATAAATTACTTTAGCTCTCATAAGTTAAAACTTATAATTGCTAAAAGTACTCAATTTTATAAAATATTACATATAAAATTAATCAATTTTATAAAAAAAATGTTGAACGTTTTTAAATTAAAAAGACATTATATAGTCAAAATTAAATTAGTTTAAATTAACCGAAATGAAAAATTACACATCTCGTATCCTAAATCAGGCTAAATCTCCATGTCCGGAAATTCCTGTCCTGGAAATTCCACATTAGCAATGTAATAATATAATGAATGAAATTTACTTATCCCTGACTACCGATATAATAGCAATATTGATCTCCGATATGTGACACATCTACTATTTAAACATCATTCAAGTTGATATCTACTCAAAGAGCTTTTGCATAAACACGTAAGTATTTAGACTTCTCAACTACAACCCTAAAACACGCTGAAAAGATGTTCAAACAAAACTACAAACCTAAACAACTGTTGAGGCATAAGTTAGAAATGCGTAATCCCTGAATGAAAACTGTTAATACCAGAAATAAAGTGCCAGCATAAGGCTAAAGCTGGGGCAATGTTTTAGGATTAGTGGTGTCTGTTTGGTGAAAGATGGGGTTAAGAACGATAGTCCCATGCAGTCCAGTCTCACAGGAGTAAACCTCGGAATTGTTTAGTCTCAGCAATGGCTGTTGCAAATGTGAAACTAGGTTAGACTTCTACGAGAAATAGATAATAAGAAATATGCCTTTGTATATTGGCTTCACTCCACTAGGCAATACAACTGAATTTTTTTTTTCATAAAAATGTATAGACTAAAAAAACATTGAGTTTTCCAAATTAAGTTGTCAGTAAAATTGTGTTACTCAAATCTGATAGATATTTCTGATTGGCAAATATCTACCTAATACTGTTTAGTAGAAATCAGTTTGAAGTTGCTTTTCAATAAAAAGTTCGCATGTTTGAAACATCTATAGCAAATACGTCCTTCCATTTTATTGCAGGAGGCAGTGAAAAAGCTGATTCTATTCGCCGAAGGTAGCAATGTCCGAAAAAAAAAGACTTTTGTCGATGGCAGCTGCCGCAAATCAATTTAATATTTTTACGGTTTTTATGCGAAGTTTTTAATGTAAATGCAAAAATGAGATTAAAACTGGTATACCTAAAGCTCAAAAATTGTCTTCTGTCCCGTCTATCAGTGTTAAACCTCTGAATTTATTTATTTAGCGTTTAACACAAGAATAAAACAATAATAAAGGTGAATTAAAAAGAAAAGCAAATAACATATTCAATTGCTTCCTCAGTCGCTATCTGCAAGTCACATGGTGCGAATTTAGTCATTATGAAATTAATTAATTAT